GCAGCAAGGGTACGAACAAACCCGGGGTGTTCTCTACGCTTCTCTGACGGTTGGGGCCAGCCGGTCACACAACAAGGGACGTCGTCGGGGCAAATTTTATCTCAAGAGGACTACATCCCACCTCAGCAGACACTGCCCCAACGGGCGAGGCGTAGACCGGCGGCCAACGTTGGTGGAGGGGGTGGAGGGAGAAGACGCCGTGTAGCCGAACCCGCCACTGCAGCCCCCGGGACTGAAGAAGACGAACAAGGTGAGATTTTTTTTACTTAACTACAAATATGTATTTATTTTCATTTCTTTTTTTTTTATTTGTTCGGTCGAAGTATTAATTTTTTTCAAAAATTAATTAATTTTTTGAAGAAGACCAAGAGCCAGTCACGCCTGGACAGACCGCAACATCGTCTTCTTCAGTACCACGGCCTCCTCGGAAAGGGTCCCGAGTACGCAAGCCCAGGAATCCATATACTCCTAGTTAGTTAGTTTTATTTTTTGTATTGGATTTTTAGATATTTAATTTGATGGTTTTGATGGTTTTCGTATTGGATTCTTAGATATTTAATTTGATGGTTTTGTGTACATATTTCGTGGTTCATTTTTTTTATCGTTAATTGTGCTTCACTTTTTTGTACTAGATTATTAGTTGACGAATGAATTGATATTAAAGTAATATTGTTTCGTGTTAAAAATGTTAAATCAAAATTTATAAAAAATCTTCATATTCAAAGATAACAATATAAATTCAGCCAAAATAAACGCGTTCGGTAGTAGGAAGCTCGTGAGCATCCAAGAGTCGAGCCCTAACTCAAAATAAATAAATAAATAAACAAAACAAAAAAATTAAATTTTATTATATAATAATCTCAGTCAATTATTAAATATATGTATATAGTATATATTAAAAAAAACTATATACTATAAAAAATATTTAAAAAAAAAATGAATAAATACTTAAACACGGATTTTAGTAATCCGTGTTTAAGTAACACGTATTGTCATAATTCGTGTTCAATTAAACACGTATTTTCAGAATTCGTGTTTTGTTTAATTAATTAGCTTAATTACGAGATTAAGTGAACACGGATTTTGGTAATCCGTGTTCCGTTCATAATTAACGGAACACGGATTTTCGTGATCCGTGTTCGTAGTAAAATTACACTTACACGGATTTTCAGAATACGTGTTTCGTTAAAACACGGATTGTGAGAATCCGTCCGTTTTATTTTTGTCCACAATTTTTTTTTTTTGTTTTATTTTAGTCCACTTATTTTTTATTTTTTTTAAATAAATAAATGATTCCCACTTTTTATGTTTTTTCAATTTAATCACCACATTTGTAATTTAGCAATTTAATACACCACTTTGACTTTTTTTTTTCAATTTGAATCACATGGCCCAATTTTGGGTTTTTTGTGCTGACATGGCATTTTACGGCTGACGTGGCAATGACATGGCTTTTTTGTGTTGTCATAGCGTCCCGCGTGTTAGTTGGAAATAAAAAAATTTAGGCTGGAAATGAGGTTTGATCTCTTGACCTTGAAGTTGCATTGTAGGTATACCACCACCACACCAATGAAATGTAGTTGATAAATCTAATAACGTGTGTGTATATATATATGAATAAATCAAACTAAATTTAAATGATAATGCAAATTACATTAAATTAATCAATAAAATATAGAGTTATAATAAACTAAATTATAAAAAATAAATGAAAATAAAATAATTAAAATAAATTAAGATAAAACATATTATAGTAGAATGACTAAAATTAAATTAAATTTAAATAAATTTATATATTTATTATTTGTTAAATAAAATTAATTATATAAATTTGGAAACGAAAAATAATAATGTAAAATAAATTAAAAAAAAAAACTAAACTAAAGTGCACCAATTAAAATATAATAAAATTAATATAATATAAGATAATGAAGTATAAAAAAGGTAAAGTAAAATAAAATAAAATAAAATAATAAATATAATAGCTTATTATGAAACATTAATTTAAAATCAATAAAAATTTGAACGATTATAATGAAATATGAAATTATATATCAAATATTATTAATATGTTTTACTCTAACATTAAATATGAATTGAGAAAGTATTATATTTTAATTATCTTAATTTATTATAATTTATTTTATTTTCCTTTAATTTTATATAATTTACTTTATTATAATTTTATACTTTATTAATTTAATTTAATATAATTGTTATATTTTATTAATTTAATTAAATATAATTTACATTATCTTTTAAATATGATTTGATTTATTCATACGTAATGTCTATATATATAAAACACTATCAAATTTATCAGTTAACTTGGATTGGTGTGGTGGTGGAAGCCGTATCATGTAACTTGCATGTCCCAGGTTCGAGTCCCATGACCTATAATATTTTTTTTATATCCAATTGACACATGGAATGCCATGTCAGCGCAAAACGCCACGTCATTGACACACTTGAACGCCATGTCAGCAGGAAAATGCCATCTCAACGCCAAATCAGCCGTAAAATGCCATGTCAGTACAAAAAGCCCGAAATTGAGCCCTGTGATTCGAATTGTAAAAAAAAATTAAAGTGGTGTATTAAATTGCTAAATTACAAATGTGGTGATTAAATTGCAAAGACATGAAAGGTGGTGTATTAATATGCAATTTTGCCTAATATTTTATTGAGAAGATATTCTGTTACTTTCAGAGAATAGAAAGATTATAATGTTACTAAAAGAACACATACATGTTCTTTTCTCCATTTGAATCATATTTTTTTATAAAAAGTCTAATATTAAAATGGAGTAGTATTTTATAAAAGTTTTTTTTTAATGTAAGCATTTCTAACAATGTTTACCAATTTTCGTAAATTAAGTGAGATTTATAATCGCAATATAATAAATGTAAAATTAGCTTAAACAAAACTAACAAGGTTCGAAAAATAAATTAGAACATAAATATAGTAATTTGTAGAAAAATGTTGTTGTCTCTCAAGTGTTATGCAAACATTGGTGTAAATACTCTACAATAATTGTTTAAGGTATGTAATTTTATGGAAGTCAATAACATGTAACTCAACTCTATGATATATATAATTTTATGTAACAAATGAACTAGTACAACACTCGTATATTATACGGTTATTCGTTAAAAGAATTATTCTTAAATTTTTAAATTAATGAGAAAAATTATTTTAAATTTTATTTACTTTTTAAAAAAAATATATATATCCTCCCTATATATAATTCCAAAATGCGCTGAGCCTACGTGGCTGCTTCTGATGCTTCAGAATCCTATTTGGCGAAAAATCATGCTTCGTAATTAGGTTTGGATAAATAATATTGATATATTAATAATTATTAATCTAGGTTTGGGTATTCCATAAATATTATTTAGCTAATTTAGGTATTTTAATATCACTTTTACTAATATAACCCTTTAATTCTTTGTAATTTTACATAGTGAAGTACTAAGTGACTAATATATCCCTTAATTTTGATTTGCTTCCTTCAATAAGCTATTGAATTATAAATGTATTTTAAAAGTTGATAACTTTTGTATTTCTTATCGGTTTTACATATATAATATATCAAATTAATCATCTTTTGATGATCTTCGATTTGACATCCATATTGTATATATATGAAATAAATAAATTATATTTATCTTTATAATAATAAAAAATAATAAGATTTATTGAAATTCATTAAAAAATAAAATTATTTTTCAATTGAAATATTTATATGTAATGTAGTTATATATTGTAAGTTAAAAAAATTAGTGTAATATAACACAAGTAAGTTGTACAAATAAAAAGTGTCATAATAAATATATAATAATATATATATTCTTATAAAAGGTAATTAAATTTTTAAACTACTTTTTCTCATTAATTTTAGATTTTAAGAAAAAAATTAGCAAGCACCCGTGTAATACACGGGTGTTGTACTAGTTATTATATATTTCAGAATAACATTGTTACTTGCGCCACTTACATGTGTTATATTATAGTAATTTTTATAACTTATATCATATAACTTCTTCAAATAAATATATTATTTATTATTAATTAATATTATAATTGTTATAAAAATAAAAATAATTTATTTTTTTATACATACAATATGGATGTTAAATCGAAACTCATCAAAAAAATGATTAATTTGATGTATTATATATGTAAAGTTGATAAAGAATAAAAAAAAGTTATTAACTTTTAAAATACATTTACAATTTAATGGTTATAATAAGGACTGATATCAAAATGTAATTAATACATGATCCTAAATAATCAACATATTTATGAATAATCTGAATCCAATTACTTATTGGATTGGAAGTAAATTAAAAATCTACCAAAACCTAATAACGAAACATTTAATTTTGCCACATAGAATCCCGAAGTATGCGAGCCTCCCACTTAGGTTCATCACGTTCTGAATTAATATATAAGGGCTATGTTACTATGTACATCTTAATGAGATGTAATATTTTAGTAATATTATACCAGAATTATGAAATTTTATTATACAAGAATTATGAAATAGAATGTAATATTATTTGAGAAAGAGGGGAAGGAATATTAGGAGAAAGGGACCCAGCAACAGCAAACACAGTGCCTTTCCTAGTGTTGTAGTCAGAGGAGTAAACCTTTTCACCCTTTTCAAGTAATGTTAGTTGTACAGCCTGCAATCCTATGTTGCTCAAATCTTTTGAAATTAGAATTCCCATGTGATCCTTCTACATTTTCATTTTCCTTTCTTAAAAAATAAAGAAGGAATGAAACATCAATAAAAGTTGAGTGGTGGGCATGTTATGTTTAGCACATTAACTTGCCCATATATTAGCATATACTTAAATCAAGCTTTCACAATATAATAGCTAA